AGAGGTCACCCGGATATGGTTCCCTCTAGACTGCAGTTAAGCCGGATTTTAATTTACCAAGTTCAGGTTCAATGATAGTTATACTGCGGGAGGTTCTTAAACAGTCTGAAGTCTCGACTAAAGGTCTCCAGACCCTCTCAATCTGAGTCTCCAGCGGGCGACTAACCTCCACCGGAGTAAACAGATTGAGGCCCTAACGAACCAAAACTCCACTACCGAAGTGAATTCGGTACAGAATAGTGAATTGACTTCTCGACTAAAGTCGCCAATTCACTACCTTCAATCAAGGGTGCTCTATCAACCTAGGCAGATATTCTCTTTCTAGGTTAAAGCAGAAACAATAGGAATTTGATCAGGATTCATACCATTCAATAAATCAAACCTTAATGGAATATAATCATATAACAGAATCTGTACTTGGGTTCATATAATCAGACCTAACATACAAATCTAGGGTTCTTCATACCAGGTGAATAAGGAAGCTACTCCATAGAGAGAGATGGGAAATCTAGCTCAGATGCGGAAACCATACTGTGAAGGATGATAATCTGCTTCTGGCACTCAATCAGATCTTCTCCAAGCTCAAGCCGCGCTCCAATGGTGATGGAGATCGATCAAGGACACTTGCAGAGTCAGGTTCGGCACTTTCTCTCTCTAGGTATCACTTTTTCTCTCTAAAACTCGGAACCCTTGTCTTTTGCCCTTCTTTTCCCTTAAAAAGCTGTCTGTCGCGATCCCCGCTCTGAATATCCGGTCGGGTATTTTGGGTGGCGACCAGGATTATTCAAAACGCAGCGTCTGAAGACAGGGGAAAATCCCCGGTCAATGCCAAGAATCCCCGACCGGGGATTTCCGCTCTGTGCCCAGGCCCCCTTCTGCTTCTCAGAGACGCCCGAAGCAACAAATCCATGTGTAATCAATGGTCTATCACAATAGCAAATGTTTCAACAACTCCAAATAATCTGATGCTCAAGATTGATCAAGTTTGGCAGATCGAATTCTTAGGGATTTTGTTTCCCATTATCAATTTTATGACACAGATGAAAGGGAGTTGACTGCTAAATGGAACCCGCAACTTGTTTTTTAACCCAGATCTGAAACCTGACACTTCTCCAAGGCCGTGAGCTTGGAGATGAGTCTCCAAGCCAAGTATCTCACTGGTGCATCTCCGCTGCCTTCATCATATTTTGGATTTGCAACTCGATGATTGGCTACAGGCCAGCCATACCAAACCGGGAGTTGTCTCCACTGTGTAAATGTAATGCGGAACCTGACTCTTGTATAATTGAGAGTACATATTTATACAACAATGGGATGTAACAATGCTCAGCTATTTTTAAGGGTTGTGGGTGAAACCACTTGCTAAGAATATGGAACAGAAAGATAACAGAATGTTGAAAGAGTCAGCTGAGCTAAGTACACGTTCTATCACACCGGAGCTCAGATCACACAATGAATATGAAGATTTTTATTTGTTGCTTTGTCAAGGCGACGATAGTCGATGGTAAGGCCGTGCAAGAAGCAGCCGCCCTGCGAAAGAAAGGGAAAGCATGACACGGTGCAGACTTCGTCGGGGAGGACTGAGGTTGTTGATCAATGAAGACTTCATAAAGCTAGGACTATGAGTTCTTGGGATCGGATGGGTTGCTAACCATCTATCTCGTTAGCACCGTACTAACCCGCGTAATCGCCTTCCTTTTTAAGTTTGGCCGATTAAGAGTGTTTTATTGTCCGGGGCATTTTGGTAAGTTGGGTATATTAGAGGATCATAATATCATGCCAAGATCTCAGCCTGGTGGAACGTGTGCGGTTTTTGTGCTGGGAGATATCCCAACAGTTAAGAATGAGTCTACTTATACATGCAAAAACAACTACGACACATATTATTAGCGTACTACTTCTACCCATGCAAAACACTATACACATGCGAAAAAAATTATGCCCCAAATTATTAATGTACCACTTTCACCAATGCAAAAACACTATACACATGTTCCAATGTCATTCAACTACAATGCAAAACCACTACTAACAAATCCACAACCAATGCAAAAATGCTACATCTTCTAACGTCCTTCAACTACAATGCAGAACCACTACTAACAAATTCACAACCAATGCAAAAACGCTACATCTAAGATGGACCAAATCACTACTACGATGGATTTGTTAGTAATGATTTTGCATTGTAGTTTAAGGACGTTGGAAGATGTAGCATATTTTACATTGGTTATTGATTTGTTGGTAGTGGTTTTGCATTGTAGTTGAATGACGTTGGAACATGTGTATAGTGTTTTTGCATTGGTGGAGGTGGTATATTAATAATATGGAGCGTAGTTGTTTTTACATGTGTAGTATTTTTGCATTGGTGCAATTGGTAAGTTAATAATATGTGTCGTACTTGTTTTTTGCATGTGTGTAGTGGTTTTGTTCTAGTCTTCTGTTTCAAGCTAGAAAAACCGCACACGTTTCACCCACCACAAAAACCGCCCACTAACACAACCAGACTTAATTAAAAAAATAATAATTAATATTTATTGCATGTGATTCCTAATCTACCCTTAATGCTTTTATATTAGAATTAGAGGTGTAGGGTTAAGATAGTTAGTATGGTGCTAACCCCTTAGCTTCTCCCGTTGTTCTTGGGTTGAGTTAAACGACAAGTAGTTGTGTGTTTAGCTAGTAGCATGATGTCGTTTTTGGAACTTATGTGCTTGGGCCAATGTTGCTTTCTACTTGTCTATGCGGGTTTACTTTCAAAAGAGAGTTCGGGCTTTTAACTTGTCTGAAACATTTGAAGCCTATTCATAATCCTCTTTTATTTTGATATTGGCTCAGCTCTCCTGTTTTGCAAAAACGGAAACTTAAGATCGTTTTCTCATATTCAATTGTACCAAAAAAGAAGGGGAAAACAATAGAAACCTGAAAGTATTTTCCATCTGTATATGAATACTAGTTTTGGCTCGGTCCGTTGGCAGAATTATTTAAAATTAGAGAATATGTAAATATTTTTGATAAAAATGAAAAAAACAATTATCACACAACTATATGCATTCCTAAGTGTTGAACTGTGTTTGGTACAACCTGTGAGTTTTGTTATATAACATTAATATTATATGATGAAACAAATCTCCTCTTAATGCATCAATCCATATAATACATATAGTGAATGAAGCCTAACAATGTAACTAATAGTTAACCTTTAACATCAATACATATAACTAATATAAAAAATCAGAAGTAGCCACCTAACAACAATTTATACCAATGGTGTGATTACTGAATTGAGTGTGTTTATGTGAATTATCTTAGTCTCTTAACAATTATAAGAGGTTGAAAAATCCTTTCACTTTCACGTTTTCATCCAACATAATGTATAGTTTTTATATAAACTATGAGCTCATCGATTGTTGCCCACTCATTACAAGTACAAATATTGTATAGGAACTATTATGAGTTTTTTTTTATAAATCCAAAACGGAGAAACGTTTGACTCTTGACTGGCTATGCAAAGTATATGTATGTGTTATATAATATATTAAATATATTGCTGATTTCTTAATTGGTTAATTGGTTTGGTTGGGTAGTAGTGTCTCAAACCAAACCAAACTAACTAAACCAAACAAGCTATAAAGTTTAATCAAACCAAAACAATTATTCAAATTAATCAAACCAAATTATTCAAACACTACCGATTAAAATGATTACCACGATAACCAATCTATTTGAACACCCTGAATCGTTAAACATCGTAGGCAAACCGGCTGGTTTTGGGTTTCTCCACCTATGATATACTTGCATCCCGGCCCCAATGGACGAGATCATTTTCACTCCACTGTAGTAGGTTAGGTTAACCCATTACACTCTTTCGAGTGAAATCTCCACAACTAATCAGGGTTTGTTTGAAAGAGCTAACTAAAGTAACTTCTTCCATTCCATTGCTTCCAAATCCATAGTTACTTTACTTATTAATTAATAAACACACTTGAAGAATAAACAAAAGAGAAAACAGCGGCACCTAACCCAAGTCCATGTCACCTACCAACCCAAAAAGAAGCAAAGAACAATTTTTGCAAATTTAGCCTCACCAACCAAACCCCTTCATCAGCCCCCAGGAATGGATTTCGAGCACTAGTTCGATTCCAATTTCTCGACTCCAATCGCCACGTCACTCTTCCACACTGTACAAAGTCTTTTCTATTTCTAAAGCTTGAGTTTCCATACAAAACTCAGGATACTATGATACGACTGAATTTTGCAAGATTTCGTAGGTTGGAGTTTTATACCCTATATTCTCTCCCATTTTTTAATTAAATGTACATTTCATTTTATTCCTTTTTCTTTGCACTCAGCAAAAACTCGCAACCTTCACCCACAATTAGGAGTCGTTTGCTTTGTGAATTTGAAAAATGAAAAATTTTGGATTTTGTAAAATCATAGATATATGAGGGTTTTGAGTTTGTTACGGACGTGGAAAATATCATTGTTATCAGATTTCATGATAGATTTGGATAGTTAGATTTGCGTGCATGAAGTGAAATTGATTTATATTGCACTCATTAGTATGAGAAAAGAAAGGTAATAGGAGTGGTAGGTTGGCAATAAATTATGGACTTCAAAACCTATAATCAATTGCCACCTAAAGAAGTGGAATTTTCAAGTCCGTGGAGCTCACTTGGACCCTTAAAGTTCATGGGACCCACGAATTTGTTGCTCATAAATATATGAAGCAAACATTTGAGTTTTTACAAACTCTATGATAGATCCAAATGCATCATCAAATTCATCAACCAAACAACCCTTTGTGAAATCCGTTTAAATTGTTTTGCTGATTTGACAAGTGATATGCTTCAACCGATAGTATAACCGATTTGTACAAGTTATACTGGTTTTAGTATAACATATAGGGAAGTGAGAAATCACTTACACTTTATGAATTTAGACATACACAACGAAATATATATATATAAACAATCTTTCTATAATCTTCTAAACATCCATACTTAATCCAACAAAAATCATCAACATTTAACAGGTAAATGCCAAGTTTGGTCTCTGGGTTTACTAAAACGTGTCATGTTTAGTTACTGGAAAAAGTTAATATCAATTTTGGTCACTCGAATTAGTAAAACGGTCCATGTTTAGTCACTCTCCGTTAGCTTTATCTGATGTGCCAGATTTGTCATATTGAATAGTTTGAATAGTTTGGGCTTCCTAGTGGAATTAGCCCTTAATTTTTTAATTATCATGTCAAATATTTAACGGTCAACTGTTAGGGTTGACTGCCACATCAGATAAAGTTAACGGAGAGTGACTAAATGTGGACCGTTTTACTAATTCGAGTGATCAAAATTAATATTAACTTTCTTCAGTGACTAAACGTGATACATTTTAGTAAACCCAGTGGCCAAACTTGGTATTTACCCACATTTAACTTTCAAATTTAAGAACAATTCAAAATCAAAATTTTTTTTTGAAATTAATCAAAACGACTTCGTATTGTTTAATGTCAAAAATTAATCATACTAATGATATGGGAAGCATTCCAATTCGTTTTGTGACTAGTACGAGATGACTCTAGATGTACCGGTCAACATGTCACAAGCATGGCCACCTGGCGGAGAATATGATATTTGTGGGTTAATTCCCTACATATTGTTTTTTTTAATTTACCACAAATATAGTGTTTTGAAAACTATTTACAAGAATATTGTGTTTTTTTATATGTTTAAAGCGCTAAAGCCTTAGACTCAGGCGCCGCCGCTGGATGCTTTTTAAACAAAAAAACACAGCGGCGCCGCCCCAGACTGGGGCTTTGTCGCTTTTAAGAAGGTAAAAGCGTCGGCGCCCCAGACTGGGGCTTTGTCGCTGCCATTTTTTTCCACTCCAGCACCACCCATCACCATATATACTGCACCTTTCCTTCGGTTCTTCATCACCAAAAAACTGAAAGAAGTTCTGAAAGAAGCTCTGGTGTTGCTGTCTGGTTGCTAGGAAGATGGCTAATAACAGGTAAGAGTCGTATTTATTTTTTTCATGTATTCATCATAATGATTTTTTCTAGTTAGTAATTAGTGAGTTTGTTTTTTATGTAGTGGTTTTAGAAGATTTGAACTAGCTGTTCGGTGGCGATCAGAGAAAGTAGAAGACAATTTGGGTGTCCATTTTGTTGGTGGTCTAAGTTTCCAGATGACTATTCCATCCAGGGTGAACTATCAGAAACTTTGTGATCATCTAATTCGGAGAATACAGATTAGAGACGAAACAGTACAAGATAGTGTTGTGATTACAGGTTTCACCTACTGTCTTCCAGAATGGCAGAATGGTGTTTTATTTCATTATGCAATGCCTATTGTCGATGATGATTGCTTAAATGTGCTTTGGAATTTTATGGCACAAAATCCTTATTGTTTGGGTGCTGAGATACATGCTGAGCTCAGTGAGGATCGGGGTGGAGAGGAAGACGATGATGATGGTGATGACACATGGAGCATGCCATCCGATCATGATTATGATGACGGTGATGATGGAGATGAGGAAGACGATGATGATGAGGAGGAGGAGGAGGACGACGACGACGACGACGATGACAATGACGGGGAGGGAGGAGAACAACCTAATTATCCTCCATATTTTTACTTGCAGGGTAATGAAGAGGACGAGGAATTATCATATGCCGATTCATATGGCGTAATTCCAGGGTCTACTGTTGGTGGTTTTGATGGAGAATTCTACAAGGGGCAAATATTTCACTCGAAACAAGCTGCACAGGTGGCGATTAAACACTATGCACTACAACGCAACTTTCAGTATAACGTGGTGGAGTCGTCACCTTCAATATGGAAGATCAGATGTTTGATGCACGAGGACAAATGTCCTTGGATGGTGCGGTTTGGATGTCGAGATGTGGGAGGCTTGGAGCGTGAGAAAGGTCGAGTTGATGCATACTTGTAGCAGTACGACTCAACCGACGGATCATCGCCATCTTGATGTCGACGTGATATCTGAGGCCGTCAAACACTTGGTACGTGCCCAACCAAATCTGAGTGTTCTAACTGTTCAGGCCGAGTTGAAAGATAAGTTTAATATGCAAGTTACTTACAAGAAGGCTTGGTATGGGAAACAAAGAGCATTGGAGAAGTTGCATGGAAATTGGGAAGAATCCTATGATTTTTTGCAAACATTCTTGCGGGTGGTCAAGAGAAAAATGCCAACATCGGTGATTGATTGGGTAAGAGTTCCTTCGACTCAACCAGGTCATTCAATATTTCAGCGAGTATTCTGGGCTTATGGTTGTTATGGTTGTTGATGGAACATTTCTTACTGGGAAGTATAAAGGAGTGCTACTCATGGCGAGCTCATTTGATGGCCGGAAGAAGATTTTTCCAATTGCATTTGCCATAGTGGATAGTGAGAATACTGATAGTTGGCCATGGTTCATAAGTCACGTTCATGGTTTGACTGATCGAAATGACGTATGCATCATCTCAGATAGACATGCAGGACTCTATGAAGCCATGAATAACATCGGAAGAGGTTGGGAGTGGAGGTGGTGCATGCGACACTATGCAAGCAATTTGCAAAGGAAGACTAAAAGCAGAATTATGTATAATCAACTATTTCGAGTAGGTAAGCTTTCTTCATTTAATTTTGTTATTTGTTTTCATGTAATTTTGGCCATGGTTCACAAAGAACATAATAATAATAAATATCTTAAAGACGTACATAAATACACTAACGACCACCACGACCACCGTGCTCTGTCACTAGATGGCCGCCAGTACCACACCTCGCTGGCCTCCTATCTCGTGGAGGCAACTACTCATCTCTCTCCGCCCCATCATCCTGATCCTGTGTGCCGAACATATCATCCACTTGAGACTGAACCTGCTCATCCGGTGCACCCTCTCATCGCTGCTGCTCATATGCCCAATGAGATGTCTGGAAGTCCTGATCCTGAACCTGCACACCGACACCCTCCCACTCATCGACGTCCAAATGTGGCAGGTCTGTACTACCTGATCCCATGTGCCCGTCTCCCATCGTAGCATGCTGCGGTGTGTGAAAGTTATCCTCCTGGGGCTGAAACTGAGTGCTAGAAGAACTGGTGCCTGCTTGAAATCCGGTAAAAGTAGGTCTGACTGGCTGGAATGTGAAGGTCGATGTAGGTCTGACTGGCTGACGATCTAAGTACCTCACTCCTCGAGGTACGTCACGCTGCTCACGTCGTTGTCTCCTCCTCTTGGGCTCCTCTGTGAACTGTGGCGGTGGCACGCCCAAGCCCGATGCCTGAGTCCTACGCTCTGGCCAGCTGGCTAAGTTGCGCTCATCAGTGTATCGCTGTATCGGCTCTGTATCAGGATGTCGACGATCACTAAAACCTATAGCTGTAACCCCTGTCGCCAACTGGTCAGCATACTCCGCCATCTGGTCATATGGTAGCCCTCCTGCTCTCATCCCATCACGTAAACCCTGCTCAACGGACTCCATGCAGTCGTACTGCAATTTAAATGGAAAATATCAGAAATGCTACAATTCTAAAAACAATTAAAACACAAAATTTAATTACTAAAAAACTCACCGCTGCGTTCAGTGCAGCAACTCTCCGTGTGCCTGAACGTCTAATGACATCTCTATACCACTCTTGATGCTCCGAGTGGTAAGCTAAAGGTACGTCACTGTATCTCGTCTGCGTGATGAACTCATGCCGACGGTTCCACAACTCAATCGACTCGCTGGCTGCCTGTATGAACTGCTGGCCACGTGATGGCCCATGCTGTCCCTGACGAAGAAAAAATCTATTCTCAGCCGCGGAATGTGGAGCATGAGGCCGGTCCTGAATCATCCCAAACTGTACGAGCACGCGATCTGGATGATGCCACATCTGCGATGAGAAGCAGATCAGTGGAACTACTGCTCGAAACGTGTCGGACTGGATCACCGTACCGCTGTAGTCCTGACCTCTATGATAGTATGGACGCCACTGCACACCAGCATTGGTCACATAATTAATCCTAAATATATAACAAATCAATTAAAACTATTCTATAAAACGAAATGTTATATACTAACCACGAATGCCGTGCACTCGTCAAACCACAGCTTGTACAGGTAGAACTGATCTCCATGCTGACGGGTGTGGGCCGGAAGCCACCGAAAGCCACGTGGCACTGCGTCCTGAGTAATCTGTGCACCCGTCTCCGCATGTAGTGGTGATGTATGAGGAAACCGCTCCCATGTCCAGATCATCAGCAAGGCGGACCATCCACCAAAGTCACCACCAAGTGAAGAAGATGCCGTCATCTGCAGTGCCGATCTACCCATCTCACGGTACAAGTAGGATAGCACTGCTGCTCCCCAAGCAAACCTCCCCGCTCTGCGCCAATCCTCCACCAAAAGTAGGTACTGCAGGTGAACTGAACCTCCAGACCGATCGGAGAACAAAACACCTCTCATCAGAGACAGCGCATACGCTCTAGCAAACTGCCCTGTCGTCTGGGGTGATGCAGAAAGCGGTAGCTCATCGAAAGTCTCTCTGAGCCAAGCAATCCGGATGACGCCGCCACCAAGATTAGTAGGAGCCACTCCTAACAGTTGAAGACACATAGCCGACCAGTCCTCGTCTGGTATGTCTACTACGACGGCATCACCGTCGATCGCTAGACCGGTCAGTGTCGCAACGTCATCTAGGGTGATGTCACCTCACTGAACGGCATGTGGAATGTCGATGTCTCAGGTCGCCAACGCTCTACGCTAAACCCTGATCACCGGTAAGAGGGGCTAGTGGTAGAACACTAGACAAGCCGGCATCGACGAGATACGGCAGGTAAAGTGGATTGAATCGAACTAAATTGCCCGTATGACGAATGTGGTAAGGTCGATCACCAGCCTATAATTAATGCACAAAACTATATTAATTCAATTCCTTCACAGTACTCGTAACTTAATCTAATTCTATTCCTAATTTAATTTAATTCTATTCGTAATTTAATTATATTATATTATATTATATTATTCAGCTAATAAAAAAATGTAGAAATAATTTGAAAAAAAACTTACCTCGTTTGCCCAAACTGCGTCAATCCGATGGTGACCATGCCCCCAAAGAAGTTCCGGATCCATCGGAGCAGTATCGATTGTCGCAGGTGGTGGTCTCATCGAACAAGGATCGATAATCCTAGGAACTGAAAAAAATAGAACATAAAAAAAATGGTTGCCGCCGCCGGCGAGAAGAACCCGGCCGAACTTACTCCTGTAGCGTTCGTTGCCGCCGCCGCCCTCGGCCTCTTCCTCTGCCGCCGCCCGCCTGCTACTGCTCGTCGTCGGACATGGTTGCGCCGCCGCTCTAGTTGGAGCGCCTTCGTCGAGTTCCTAGCGCCTTCGTCGAGTTCCTAGCGCCGCCGCCTGAGATTGAGGCGGTGCCCCCTTTTTCTCGGCGTCGCCGCTCTTTCTTCTGGCGTCGGCGCTGGGTTGGAGGAGGTGAAGGAGGAGGGTTGGGGGGGTGTGGGTGGTCTGTGCGAGAGGGCAGGGAGGAAGGGGATAGGGGATAAGAGAATAAAAGGAAAAGATAGCGACGACGCCCGAGTCTCAGGCTTTGATGCTATTTGAAATTTATAGCGCCAAAGCCTGAGACTCGGGCGCCATCGCTATCTTTTTCCTTCAACACTCAATTTTCTGAGTCTCGGGCGCCGTCCCTGCCTTCCCTCCATCAAAACACATTATTCTTGTAAATAGTTTTCAAAACACTATATTCGTGGTAATTAAAAAAAAAACAATATTCGTGGAATTAACCCGATATTTGTGTAATAATAATATATTTATGATTTATAGAAATATTATATTCGTCCGACAAGAAAAATGTAATTTTATAATGGATAGTAGCATGAAATCAAGTCAAGTCTTCAAGAATATCATATTCTCATAACATAAATAATTAAATATCATATTCTTGAAAATTTGATTTCATAATATTATCTATTATAAAAATACTTTTTTTTATCGAACAAATGTAAAATTCCTATAAATTATATTATCATTATACAAATATCATATTCCTTCTAATAGTAGAAGGACCTTATTATTTTGCATGACAACCATGATCCAATGGGCCAACCCCACTTTGACCACTCGCGCGCGTGAATCAGAAAGGCCAAAAACCCTCACCAAACCCTCTCCCAAGCCCCAGCTGTACAAACTACAAAATATAAATCCCCCAAGTAGATCTCCGCAGTCCGCTCCCAAATCTCTCCACTCCCTATCCCCCATTTCCCGGCCGCCGCCAATAGCCGGAACCACCACCTTCTTTCCAAAATGGCTACCTCCACCACCAGCCTCAACGTCCCATCTCTCAACCCCAAACTCTCCTCCTCCCTCTCCATCTCCTCCACCCCGCAATTCTCGGTTTCCTCCCTCAACCTTCGCACCCACGGCCGCGGAACCCGCCGCTTCATCGTCCTCGCCACCGCGGGGCTCGACGCCAAGCCCACCGTCCTGGTGGCCGAGAAGCTCGGGGCGGCAGGGCTTGATCTCCTCAAGGAGTTCGCCAACGTGGATTGCTCCTACAACCTTTCCCCTGAAGAGCTCAACACCAAGATCTCGCTCTGCGATGCCCTGATCGTGCGCAGCGGGACCAAAGTGAGCCGGGAGGTCTTCGAATCTTCCGGCGGGAGGTTGAAGGTCGTCGGCAGGGCTGGCGTTGGGATTGATAATGTTGATCTGGCTGCCGCCACGGAGCATGGGTGTTTGGTGGTCAATGCTCCCACGGCCAACACTGTTGCGGCGGCGGAGCATGGGATTGCTCTCTTGGCTGCTATGGCGAGGAATGTCGCTCAAGCGGATGCCTCCGTTAAAGCCGGTTAGTCATCGGTTCTTGGTTTTGTTGGTGGGTTGCTTTAGTTTAATTCCTTTGGCGCATTTCGTCGAACAGGTGATAGATTGGTTATGAGGGTTCTTCCATATGGATAGGCGTGCTTTTACTGAGATGCTGGTCTAGAAAAGTTACTTTTGCTCGCTTCCAAGGGTGGTCGCATTTAGGGAAAATCCTATATGATATTGGGTGCTTTTATTTATTTATTGCGAGTCATTGTTCTTTTCTTCTCTTTTGGCATCCCACTTTTGTTCACTTCTTGTTTTCGTGTTCCTTGCCCCCAAAGTGGAATTCGTGATTGTTTAGATTTCAAAAGGCCAAAACTTTCTTCGGCGTAGGGAAACCCGATAAGTTTGGTTTAGACCCATAGAAGAGAGGAACTTTGGAGGATTCTGATTGCTGGTAACGATCTCAATGAAGAATCTGAAGGCGCATTTGGGATTTAGAAAGGGGTGTTGACTGTGGTAACCCTTTCTTGAAGTTTGCTCTGTTCAATGGGACTAAACTTGAAATATCCATGCGACTATTAATAACTGCAACTATGTGCATGAATCAACGATTCAAGGGACTTGTGATTAAGTTTTGATAATGGGTATTGGGAAGTGTTTGAAGCTCAGAACTTTTCTTTTGTATGCTTCCTTAACTAAGTGCTGCATATTTTGTCAGTACGTATCTACTATCTACACTGCTGAAAAGTGATTGATGTTGATTTCATTTGGACGCTACAGGGAAGTGGCTGAGGAACAAGTATGTGGGTGTCTCCCTTGTTGGGAAAACACTTGCAGTCATGGGATTCGGGAAAGTTGGAACAGAAGTGGCTAGGCGTGCCAAGGGGCTTGGAATGCACGTGATTGCACACGATCCCTATGCACCTGCAGACCGTGCTCGTGCTATTGGTGTAGAGCTAGTGACCTTTGACGAAGCCATAGCAACTGCAGATTTCATTTCGCTGCACATGCCTCTCACCCCTACAACATCAAAGATGCTTAATGATGAAACTTTTGGAAAGATGAAGAAGGGTGTTAGAATTGTCAATGTGGCCCGTGGTGGTGTGATTGATGAAGAAGCTTTGGTGAGGGCATTGGACTCTGGAATTGTTGCACAGGCGGCACTTGATGTCTTTACAAAGGAACCCCCATCACCTGAAAGCAAATTGGTGCAGCATGAGAATGTGATTGTGACACCTCATCTTGGAGCTAGTACTGTTGAAGCTCAGGTATGCTTTACTAATCATCACAATAGAATTCTCCTAAGAAAAAAATCATCACAATAGCAAACTCTTTATCATTTCTTGTTCTTTTCTCCATTTGATCCCAATATTTGGATGAGCAGGAAGGGGTGGCTATTGAGATAGCTGAAGCTGTTGTTGGGGCATTGAAGGGCGAGCTTGCTGCTACGGCAGTCAATGCACCAATGGTGCCTGCCGAGGTACTTGTTTCTTTTCAGTATTTCATGTCTTGTTTGGTTGCTCCTTTATCAAGTTTAGTTCTACCCCTAGTAAATCATGGATGAGATCTGCGGGACATAATGTCTTTTCATGTCTCATTCCAACAGGTGCTGTCAGAGCTGAAACCATATGTTATACTCGCTGAGAAACTCGGTCGGTTGGCTGTCCAGCTAGTAACCGGAGGAAGCGGTGTGAAATCCGTGAAAGTCACATATGCTTCAGCTAGAGCCCCCGATGACCTTGACACAAGGGTACTGCGTGCCATGATCACCAAGGGCATCATCGAGCCCATATCTAGTGTATTCGTTAACTTGGTCAATGCAGACTTCGCCGCCAAACAAAGAGGTGTGAGAATCACTGAGGAGCGCATCGTTCTAGATGGATCTCCCGAGGCACCACTGGAATCCATCCAGGTCCAAATTGCCAATGTGGAATCCAAGTTCGCCAGTGCTATTTCTGATACCGGAGAGATCAGGGTGGAGGGACGTGTGAAGGACGGGGTCCCACATCTGACTAGGGTGGGGTCTTTTGAGGTCGATGTCAGCTTGGAAGGCAGCATTATACTTTGCCGTCAGGTGGATCAGCCTGGTATGATCGGGAAAGTGGGAAGCATACTGGGCCAGGAGAATGTGAATGTCAGTTTCATGAGCGTTGGTAGGATAGCTCCTAGAAAGCAAGCTGTGATGGCAATTGGTGTCGATGACCAGCCGAGCAAACAGAGTCTGCAGAGGATCGGTGAAATCCCGGCTATTGAGGAATTTGTTTTCCTCAAGTTATAATTAGCTTTTGGGATGATGAAATTTATGACAGTTTTGTTCCTGGGTTGTTTATTGTTCGTAGTCAGACGGATTTGGGTCTCGAGTATGATTTGATTGCATCCATTTGCGTTCTGGTTTGCTTTGTAGTTGGTTTCCGAGGTTTAGAGCATGTACTTTTTGTCGAGGCAATCCTCTCGCTGTTAGTTTCCTAATTTTCCCTTCAGAAGAAGAAGCGTCGCTTTCTTGGCTAGCCTTCTCTTTGAAAATCTTCTGTTTGAATAAGCGATAAATGGTTCCTTACAGATTTCACATCTGGATATTCGCATTATGTTAACCACTATCATTAGCTTTATTTAACACTAATTAACAGAGCAAAAAAGATATATGTAGAGCATCATCACCTTCCCAAGAAGTACGCCTCGCTATAGATTATATGAAATTACAACACTTTGTGAACCTGTCCAAAATATTCTACAGGCTGAATCCCCACTATGCATAATAAAGTGCACATGCAACTAAAAGGGATCCAAGCACCTTATTATGACAAACAACAAACATTCCTTTTGAAGCCCACATATCCCTCCACAAGATCTATACAAAAAGGAAAGCAATAATTTGTATACAGATCGAAGCTGAAAGGGAAACTTAGATGTCATGAACCCGAAAGGAACGGGACCTCGGCCAGCGTCGTGGGTAGCGAAAGGTTCAGGTTGTGAACAGCCAAGTAGGCAGCGATTCCAGCAGCATAACCAGCAAAAGCAAAGCCACTAACCTGTAACAAAATCAGGAGTTGGTTGAGTTTGTGATAATGCTGTAATATACTCGGTCTATGAATATGTGTTGTTTTCAGCTTACTTACTTTCTTCATGTACCAGAAGAAGTCAACTTTCTCCATTCCCATGAATGCAACTCCGGCTGCCGAGCCAATGACCAGCATGGACCCACCAGTGCCAGCGCAGTAAGCGATCAACTGCCAAAACTCGGAATCTTGGGGGAAAGAGGTCAGGTCATACATTCCCATTGTTGCAGCAACTAGGGGGACATTGTCGATGATTGCTGACACGACTCCCACCGCACTCGCCACAAGCTCAAAGTTTGGAATATGAGCATCAAGATAGTTTGCTAGCACGCGAAGAAGCCCGGCTGCCTCCAAACTGGAAGAAATAAATACATGATTCCACTACTAATTGATCCCAAGATTCGCACGACAATATGATACATGAATACCAAAACTGACGTGTTTTTAAGATTGGAGTAAGATCCGTCATCAAGGTACAAACATGAGAATCGCCTTCTTAAAAAGCTGATACCATACCTGCTAACGGAGAGAAGGATACCAAGGAAGAAAAGTGCCCCCTGAGTGTCAATGCGTGATAAAGCTTGGGGTACTTTCAACTTTTGGCGGTCCGATTCGCCATAATGAATTGCATCTGTGACAATCCAGAGAACTCCAAGCCCAAGAAGCATTCCCATGTAAGGAGGCAGCCCAGTTAGGGCCTTGAACACAGGAACAAAGATCAAAGCTCCAACACCGATAGAGAACACGAGCTGTCCTCGAGGAGCCATCTGTTCGGATGCCAAGACATCTGTGGCATCCTGTCCCTTCCCGTTAAATTCACTGTATCAACAAGACAAACCAATATCATTTTCATCCCAGAGTGATAAAAAAGAATCTGATGGGGATATGATCACTGGATTCTCCAAGAGCGTAAGAGGGATACCTGGTCAGAGACATAAGGGCAAGGGGCACAGCAAGAGAAACTGCTGAAGGTATAAACAAGTCCTGAAGCAAGGATGATGGATATGAGAACTTCACAGAGAGCTGAGTAAAATGAAAGAGCCTTGCACTGATAGAAGGAAAAACCTTGTTAATTAAAAGAAAAATAAGAAACGGAAAACCTTTATCGTTGGCAATGTGGAAATCTGACCATGGATCCATAGCATAGTGGTGGTAACATCACCAATGGGAGTCCAAGCACCTCCAGCATTTGCTGCAATCACAACGACTGCTCCTAGAAGCCTGTAATGAGAGAAAGCTACATTAGAATATATTCTCCTCAGATATTGGCACGTCTCATTTATTAATTGCTGATGTAACAAAACGATATAGCTGATTGAAATAAATTGTGAAAAACTCTTCTTGAATTCTCTACAGAAAAATGTATCAAGGCTCAGGACTATGCAATGGGTATCCACATGTTTCTCAGTTCTCTCTTTTATCCATACTAAAAAAAATTAAGACACTGTAAGAATTTTCTTGCACTTTAACTGATAGAGAAAGGATGAAAAGTCATCTGCCTGAGCCAAGCAATACTAAAATATCCAAAATCACCAGACTGTATAAGTTTACTGCAAATGAGACGCAAAAGAAACTCTTTCCATGTAACACATAAAGAAACGCTACACAAAATCATATGAGAGTACTGGCTACACATACTTCCGGTATTCTGAGGGGGGCACAAGTTTCCTCAGTAAAGAAACCATGACAATTGTTGATGTCAGGTTATCAAGAATTGAACTGAGGAAAAATGTCACCAAGCCAATCTGCGTAATTGAACATTCAACAGTTAAAACCCAAAAATAGCATGAATGGGCTAAAATGAATGAATGATGAATCATAAGCTATTTTGGTAATTATTTGCAAAGACTGACTACTACAGTGCATCACCAATGATGGGTGCATGTATCACCATAAACATTTGACAACTGCAATCTAAGAAACATCAGAAGAACCCAGAAAATGTTCATAGAGCAGGAAAATGGCACTAACCACCCAAAGCAGAGAGCGGGGCTTTCGAGTTGTTATATTGTCAGTGACTAGCTTAAATCCTTGATGAGCATCAACAATCTCCACAATTGTCATAGCACCAAGCAGGAAAAACACTATTTCACTAACTTCTCCTGATGCATGCTGGAGCTCTGAGACAGCAATATCAACTGAAGGAGCCTGCTCAAGAAAATCGAAGAACGGACAATCAATATATGCCATCAAGTAGCAGTTGTATGTGTAGCAGGGTAGTCGGCTATGATTTAACAGAATCCCACTGATGGTGGACCAATACAGGGACCGTAAGTTGAGATAACACTAGTGAGATGGATGGACAGGCTTACTTGGACTCAAATACTAACAAACCAATCATTTTGAAAAATTCAAGTAATTTCAAATCAGAGACATTCAACACTTAGCTTACTCAAATGTTTCATGAAAGGCTCATCATCTTCTAGAGCTCAAAATGTATGAACTAAAACCATTCCTCATAGAGTAAGGTAACATTTTCTATTCCTCCTAGAGTTTGATAACAGGTTTATGTTTTACTGTAAAATGACTAATAACATATTAAAGAAACATTAGCTAAAGATGTAGGTGACTGACAAATGGAGAACGATATATGTAGCACAGAAAGCAAAACTCACTCCAATACTTCGAACGGTCCACAAGCTCACAGCCATCAATAATCCCACCCCACTTTTATTGAAGGCAAGGGACTCTTCAAAGATAATACCCGCATATCCTATTCCAAACAGCAATGCCATAGCAAGATCCTGTATCAGCAAAAGCCAGGATTATCAAATAGAGCAACCTTAAGATTAAACAGAGAAGTTCAAGCTTCAGTTTCCAATAAGCAATAACTTAAAGAAGCATGCCCTAGAAAACCTGATTAGCCGCCACCCATGAATGGTTAATCGCTGCAGCTCCAGTTAAAGCAGTTCCCACAACTGCAAAAGCTTTCAGCAAGTCTGTCTTGGGCTGGTAGTTGGTCTCATATTCTTGTGAACTCGTTTCATCAACTGAACAAATAGGATCACAGTTCCCAGACTCTTCTGCGGCATCCTGATGAAATGCAAGAGAATCGCCAATATGAATAATAGCAAGTTTACATAGGACATGGAATTTCTTAACATCATGCATTTCCTCCAAACAGAGCGGCGATATGACACTAATAACTAATAATTGAAGTGTGCAAGTAAAGCCTCCAACTTTGCGCTTTCCTCTAATGAGGAGCTACTGAAGGGCAAGTTTTGCGACAGAGGGCCATCCACCGATAACGCATCAAGCAGCAAAAAATTAAGTTTGTGTGAAAACTAACATGACATAAAGTTTCTAAGAAAATGATGACATAAAGAACCTGGAGCTGTTTAATACTATTTGGTTGTTGGGTCCTCTGCTGAATTGGCGACGAATAAGATGAGTCCCTAGCCTTATCCTCTGCTCTGACGAGCAACCCACTGCCGAACCGAGTTGAACCTCGGAATCTACAGAAGGAAGAGCCAAACGAAGGCCGCGGAGAAGCGGGAGATGATGGAGGATGGAGCGAGTGTTTCTTGAATTGGCGCAGTGGGTTCAGGTGGTGTGATCCAATTGCGAAAGACGCCATTGCAGGGCGTCCTGGAGTAGCCCCAGAAGCAGGAAAGAGGACTATTGTTGGGTTTTGGTTTCTGGTCTGGCGGAGTATCTTTTGTTCTAGTGCTCCCAAGTCCCAAGTTGCCCAAATGACGAGTGTTCAACAGAGAATGGTTAAGATAACCATTTTAATTCTTGAAATTTACAAATTTTGAGAAATTTATTTTTAAAAGAATTTTTTTATTTTATGTTTGATATTTAAAATAATTTATTTTAAATTTGAATTCTACGTAATTGGAACTAATTATAACAATTATGAGGATTTGAGATGAATTTCCAAATGATTTCCACAAGTATTTACTAATTATAATAGATTAATATAGGTACTCTTATTTCTTAACTAAATTAATATTACATGTATTATTTGGCGCCAATTCATGCGGTATGAGGAACATCAATAAGAATTTGATTGCAATGCTAGTAGCATATGCTAGATATTTGATATTTCTATTTTGATTGTATGAGTATGTTGAGAAGTCACAACTAGAGTGTACGATGCATCAACGAGTTATTAGAAAAGAACTAATAAATAAAATAGAAACACATGAGAACACTTTTGTTATCTACGTATGGGACCGAATGCATATTTTTAGAAGATGGATTTTCAATGAATATTGTTACTGCCGGAAATTAATAATGGTGTTGGTGGAAACTTTTAATTTACTTTAATTCAAAACATATGCCAAACATGGTTTGGAAATTCAATTCATTTTATTTCTAAAGATTTGAATATGAGATACAAAACACAAGAATTCATTTGACAATGAATTCTTGATTCATTTGGTACCAAACAGTCTATTGGTATTAGGTACTTTGATTTAATTAATTTGAATAATTAGTTTGGTTAATTTTTTAGTTTGGTTGGTTTAGGTGGTTAGGTTTGATTTCATACACTTCTAACAAATCAAACCAATTACCAGATAAACAATTAGTCATATGTCTAAAATATTAGGGTTAATATATTTGTATGTCCTGAACTTTGACCAAAATAAACATCTTGGCCAATCTTTTCGATCTATAACATCCTGACCCAAACTATACATCAAAATAAAGAAATTGGCCAAACCCGATATTTGACCGTTAATATGGACGGTCAAATGCGTTGACTAACGGTCAATGCGCCACGTCACTGACAAGTCATCACCCTTTCCTTAAAAAACTGTATATTTTCCACCTATTACTATTTATTTTTTCCCATTTTGAATAAAATTTTTGAAAAATGAAAAATGAATTTCGGGAAAACCATGGAAAACTGAAAAAACTAAATGCATTTTTTTGTTCAAAATTAAAAAGGAAAATGATAATAGGTTTAAATTATAAAATTTTTAAATTGAAAATTATTGAGTTGGCAGTGACGTGGCGCATTGACCGTTAGTCAACGCGTTTGACCGTCCAAGTTAACGGTCAAACATTGGGTTTGGCCAATTTCTTTATTTTGATGTATAGTTTGGGCCAGAATGTTATAGATCGAAAAGATTGGCAAGAATGTTTATTTTGGTCAAAGTTCAGGTCATACAAATATATTAACCCAAAATATTATATACACATATTTAATACTTTGCATAACCACGATGACACTTTATTTATAGTGTTTGTTACTCCCATTCTTGATACATTTTCCCCTTCTATCAAAGCATCTTTGGTTATTTCAATGGTATTTCATATCTAAATCACAACTATTTGATTAATGAGCCTTTAATAGACCTAGGCTGTGTATTTGTACTATTTGATGCCTTCTTGGTATATTTTTTTTTTATGGTTTTGAAGGTACAAAGAAACCTAAGGAAGATTGGATCAAGCATTGGAGAACTCTGGAGGACCAAAGAGCTATACAAGGAAGAATATGAAGCTTTTCATGAGAAATAAGAGGTTCAATGATAGAGAAGTCTACTAGGAGTTGCTATATAATCACAAAATAAGTCCAGAGGAGGAAGACTCGGCCCAAGATGAAGAAAGAACGAGAGATGTGTCAACTTTTGGTCCAACTGCCGCTAAGAATACCCGACCCAAGGTGTGCCCAAAATCTAAGGGGAATTCCTCCATGAATTAAGGATCCCAACCCACAAAGAAAATAGTGGCGACCCCAACCACCGGTATACCACCAACAACCTTAATGCTCCCGGGAAACTTCTTTAGCAAGCTACTTTGTCCAGAAATTGATGGAAAATCGACTTCAAGTCGGATAAGGAAGGCTTCGGCCAATTTTAGGAGAAAAAGTCCCTTTGTATCCACTCTCTCTTGTACTATAAATAGGTGCATAGACTTCTGTTAGAAAACACCTTTTTACACCTCAGAACTGCTAAAGCTCTGTCGGAGTGAGGAGAGAATGACTCATTTGTTGTATGATCCTTCTAATTCTCACATGGCTAGCTAGATCTTTGTTTTTTGGGTGTTGATTCGATGATGTGATGTACTATTTTCTATGAGTTAATAAGATTTCATAAAGCATCAATGGTCCTTCTTGGAGCATCAATGGTCCTTCTTGGAGCATCAATGGTCCTTCTTTATATGCTTGGTCTTGTTATGGTGCATTACTATGTGTGTTGATTATACTACTACCATGAGAGACAGAAATTAATCTATGAGTAGGCTTCATTTCTAGGCATGCATTAGGGAGAAGTACAACCCTCTAATGTTCGAATAGTGATGATGCTCGATATCCAAAGATCCCCAATACCATAGGCCATCGTTATGATTCATAGAGGTCCACAATTACGATGCACTATCTTTACTTTCTTCTTGTTCATTAATTAGTTGATGGCATGAAATGGAAGCACACATTAGCTAGTTGAATTCCCATAGCAAGAGGCACATGCACGGTAATATGATCTCAATTTGTCCATTAAAACGACTAGAATTGATAGATCATGAAGGCAAGCCAGGCATGTTAGAAAATACTGATTTTTGCTCTAAGTGTTTATGACGATTTCAGGTACCCACTTTGGACAAGCATAACTCTCACTTGGTGTGGTAGAAATTCGAGTTCTTTGGCTTGTGATGAAGAAGAGGAGCTGCTCTTTCGATTGGTGTACTTTAGAGCTCAAGGGGAAGTTCAGAAGCTGAGCTTTCAAGGTGATCAATATGCTAGCTCAATACTGGAGACACTGCCAGATTTGCCTAAGTATGGAAGCAGAGTTGGGAAGGGATCTTTGAAGCTCGAGTTGTGGAAGATGGGAAATAGTCGAGCTTCCAAATTCACACCCCATGAAAGCTGGTTTCTTCTAGTTTATCGACAAGGTATTGGTTGATCGAGGTGATGGCCTGAAGGGCTCGAACGAGGGGACTAAAGATCGCTTCGAGACTGAAGATTCTGTCTGGAGGATTAAGTAATCTGAATCCTAGTCGGATTAGGATTAGTAGATAGTTTTAGCTTAATTGGTTTCCACGTAGACTTTTGCTTCCCTTTTCCAAGTAGAATTGTAATTGAACTTCTTTAAACGTTGTTAGGAGTTGCTAGGTCTATTTAAGTGGAGTTGATTCATTGTAATAGTTAGTTTTTGATCCATTGAATACAAAGTTGAGCTTTGATTCATCTCGCAAGTTTGCTTGAGGAATTGAGTTGGATTGCTTGGAGGATTCTAAGCAATCGTGAGCTTGTATCAATCAGTTCACCACCCTGATCGTGTCCAAGCATCGTCCTAAAGGTTTCGAGCCTCTTTCCCCTTGTGAAAGTTGCACGGAAACTCACCATCTAAACCGCAAAACCAACTCTGTTTTGTGGGTTCTTGTTCGAGACCATCAATCTGAGGTTCTAGACCTCTTGGCTGCGTGAATTGAGCTGAAACCCTACGTTGGGGTTTATCAAGTGGCATCATCACCTAGTTCAAATGCAGTGGACAGTACGACGGACGCCGTTGCTGAGTCAACCCGTTGGACGAGATCAAAAGGCCCTGTTTCCAGTGACCCTGCAATCCGACGTCAGGAATTGAAAGAACAAATTGAAGGGCAATCCATGGTGGGGCAAACGTTTAATATGGATGAACTTCTTGATCGGATGGGGTAGCGATTCCATGTTGAATTCCAGTAGCAATTAGGTCAGTTCAAGAGGGAAGTTGACCAGCGGTTTGACACAATCAACCGGCCGAGAGTCCGCGAAGAGGAAGTTCCCGGCGACGCAAATCCAGTAGGCCACCAGGAGTTACTGGACAGGATTGCAAAATTGGAACAACGACTTGTCGTCGCAGAACCCCATCACGATCGTCCACGTCGAGAGCGGCGTGATAATCGAGAAGTATATCTGCTGGCGATTCCACCAGGGATCAAATTGGCTGTGCCGGCATTTCATGGCATGATCAATGCCTCAGCATAGATGGACTGGGAGCGAAAAATGGTTCTTTTCTTCCAGTGTGGGCATTATACAGAACAACAAAAGGTGGCTCTAGCTACCTTCGAATTCACTGACTATGCAGCTCAGTGGTGGGAGCAAACTCGTCTCCGTCGACAGCGGAATTTGCATCCAGAAGTAACGGACTGGGAAGAGCTGCGAGGATTGATGCGTGATCGGTTCGTGATGGCATACTATCAGAGGGAGCTCCACGAATCGTTGCAAGCGATTCGACAAGAAGGGCGTAGTGTGGATGAGTACTTCCGCGAATTGGAACTACTGCTGATGCGAACCGATGTGCGCGAAGACAGGGAGGCAACCATTGCGCGATTCCTCCATGGAATGAACCGAGAGATAACGCAGGAAGTGGACCTGAGGTCATTTGTGGACCTAGAAGACGCTTTGCACCTTTCCTAAAAAGCGTAGTATAGCGGGCTAGGTTTATATGTCAACCCGGATCCTAGATCTGATGACTACTCAGTGAGTTCTAGTTATCTAGCAATGAAACTGGAATGCAAGTCTAAACTACCAAACAAACAAAGCAAGTAAACTGTTGTATTCAGGTTAAAGAGGTCACCCGGATATGGTTCCCCCTAGACTGCAGTTAAGCCGGATTGTAATTACCAAGTTCAGTTTCTATGATAGTTATACTGCGGAAGGTTCTTAAACAGCCTGAAGTCTCGACTAAAGGTCTTCAGACCCTCTCAATCTGAGTCTCTAGCGGGCGACTAACCTCCACCGGAGTAAACAGATTGAGGCCTTAACAAACAAAACCTCCACTACCGGAGTAAATCCGGTACAGAATAGTGAGTTGGCTCCTCGACTAAAGTCACCAACTCCCTACCTTCAATCAAGGATACTCTATTAACCTAGTCAGATATTCTCATTCCAGGTTAAAGCAGAAACAACAGGAATTTGATCAGGATTCAAGTCATTCAATCATTAAAACCTCAATCGAATATAATCAATCATGGAATCATTACTTGGGTTCATACTACAAACCTAACATAAAAATCCAGGGTTCTCCATACCCAGATGAATGGAAGAACTACTCCATGGAGAAGTAAGCAAAAGCAGAATCAGACGCGGAATTCATACTGTGAAGGATGGATTCCTGCTCCTGGACGTTGATCGGCACTTCTCCAAGCTCAAGCTGGCCTCCAATGGTGTTGAAGATCAATCTAGGGCACTTGGAGACTCTTGTTCGTCGCTTTCTCTCTCTAGAAATCGCTCTCTTTCTCAAAAACCCGAATCCTCCCGAATTGTGGCTGAAATTCTGCTTAAAAGGAGAAAATCCCGACTCACACGGCCTGGGTGGCACGGCCGTGCAGCTCACCCAGTTGCCCGTGTCAGTCAAAACGCTGCGTTCCAATTAGTTCGAATTACAGGCTCTTTGCACGGCCAGAGTGGAACGGCCGTGTGAACATCCCTTCTTGCCCGTGTTTGCTCTCGCAGAATGTGGCACGGCCAACCCGGCCACTTGCACGGCCGTGTGGATCTTCTGCTCTGCCCGTGTCTGCTCTCGCAGAATCCCACACGGCCAAACCACTCCTTCACACGGCTGTGTGTACATCAGGGCAGCCCGTGTGACCTCCTTTGTGGCTTGTCTCGCACCCGATCTTCACCCAATCGACCCCGAACTCGCTCCTAAACCTTCATTCACTTGCCAGGACCTGAAATATCACAAACAAGCACAACCTAGCGTGAAATCGGTCTAAAACACGAGAAACCACATCTCCAACGGTGTAAGAACAGGGGTGAAAACATGTGTAACTAACGGTCTATCAAACTCCCCCACACTTAACCGTTTGCTTGTCCCCAAGCAAACCTAACTCAAACCAATGCAACTCTCCAGACCTCTATAGCAACAAACAACCTAGATCGTAGGTAGAGGACTTCCTAGATCATTTAGCAACTTACGAGGTCAACCGACGCACAAGTCATCTCATAGCTTCTTCGGCGAGAGCACTAGCATCGAGTCGCCATCATGGCAAACAGTGAACAGAGGACAAATGAATTGTGGATGAAAAGATTCTCAAAAACAAAGGATCATGGACTCACATTTTTCAAGGTGCTCTATTTTCTTTGAAGATGGTTGGAACCCCTTTTTTTTCTGTTTTGCTTGTTTTCTGTTATTTTTCTTTTCTTTTCTTTTCAAGGGTCCCAACCTGCTCTTACCGGCCATACTGAGCAGGCAATTGCAAGGAACACGTACTTGGAGCCCTCAAATTTAAAAATTTGGACAGTGGACTAGGCTCCAAGCACACAAACAGATCTAATGCAGTCAAAAGATAAACAGTAGAGTCGAGTCACCTAGGGTTGCTGGAGGTTACTAGTGGTGACCTAAGAGGTTAGCGAAAGTGTCCTAGGTGACTGGAGGTGACCTAGAGGGTAATTGAAATTGGCATAGGGTGGCCGGAGGTAACTCGGGGGTGGCGAAAGGTGACTCGAGGGGTGATCGAAGGTGACCGAAAATGGTCTAGGTTACCGAAAGTGGTCTAGGTCACACATGGGTGACTGGAGGTGGACTAGGGTGGCCAGAGGTGACCCGAGAAGTGACTGGAGGTGACCCAAAGTGGCTTAGGTGAGCGAAGGTGATCCTAGAAGGTTATTGAAAGTGACCCAAGGGAGTATTTTAGAGGTTGTCCATTAGATGAATTTCATTTTTTTTTTTTTACTTAGGGTCCACCAACAGTAATTCCCTTGGCAAGGATTGTAAATGTCCTTGCTAAGGCTCCCAACCATCTTTATAAGATCAAATGAACCGGTGGTTGGACAAGTAAAACCGTCAAGCCAAAACGAGTTAAGATTTTGAAGAGGCACCCCCAGTTAACATTATCAAATGCCTTCTCGACATCTAATTTCAACATTAGACCGGGTTTCCTGCTTTTTCTTCTGCTGTCGACCAATTCATTTGCAAGTAAACCGGCTTCAGCAATCAGTCTGCCTTGAACCGAATCATGCTGAAATTTAGACAAAAGTGAGGGAAGGACCATGCTGAGTCTTCTCGCCAAAACTTTACAAATGAGCTTGTTGACACTAGTATACTACCCAAAAGACCAATCGGTCTCAAATCCTTGATTTCTTCAGTTAAGTCTTTCTTGGGGATCAAGCAAATGAAAGAGTGAGTTATACATTTGGGAAGCAAACCTGTTTCGTGGAACTCCATGAAGGCTGCCATAGTATCGATCTTCACAGTGTTCCAACACCTTTTATAGAATTCCATATAAAAACCATCCGGCCCTGGAGCCTTAGATCCGTCACAGTCCCTCAAGGTATCCCATATCTCTTTTTCGTTGAAAGGTTGCACCAGAAAGAGAGCAACAAATGGTTACTTTCAAGCACAAAAAGTGCTCAGGCAAGGAGATCCATTATCACTAGGCTTGTTCGTTTTAATCATGGATGTTCTCTCGTTCATGCTGACCAGGCTGAAAATTGAAGGTAAAATCAATGGTTTTTTCATGAATGAATCTACGCAGGAAGGAGAAGTTATTCATCTTTTATTCGCGGACGATACCCTGATCTTCTGTGAATCATTCCATGAGCAGGTTTTGCATATCACTGCCACTTTAGCGTGCCTCCAAGCAGTCACTGGTTTGAAAATTAACCTCGAAAAGTCGGTGTTGTACATAGTTGGTGATGTTCCGGCTCCCAATTTCTTTGCGAGCATCATTGGTTTCAAATGGAGTAATCAACCTCCAAAATATCTAGGCTACCCCGTTGGTGCGAAACTGAATACAAATGCTTTCTCGGACCCAATCGTGAATAGCTATCAGAAACGCCTTGATAGCTGGAGTAGCAGATATCTTTCCTCTGCAGGAAGATTGGTCCTTATCAATTCGGTTCTCTCGAGCTTGGAAGTTTACTACTTCTCCCTCTTTAAAGCTCCAAAGACTGTGATCAACAATCTCGAGAGAGTCCAAAGAAATTTCTTGTGGAGTGGTACAGATGAAATAAGGGAAATTCTCATTACTCAATTGGAAGATTTGCAAAGCAACATGGGACAGTGGAGGTATGGGAATTTGTGATCTTGCTTCATTCAATAGCGCGCTGCTCTCTAAATGGCTTTGGAAGTTTGCAATCGACAGAAATAGTTGCGGGAGATCTCTTATTGACATCAAATATAAAAATCGAGTTTCTCAATGGCAAACTGGAAGAATTAGAGGATGCAGTTCAAGCTTTGTATGGGCTAATATTACAAGAGAATATGATCTGTTCTGGAATCATGCTTCATTGACCCAGGTGGAGGCGCTCATATTTATTTCTGGCAGGACCAATGGATACCGGGCTGCTCACTTGTTACTTCCTTTCCCCGCAACGCTGCTGCTACCTCAAGCCCGGAAGCAAGGATCAACGACATCGTCAACTTTTCAGGTAATCATACATTATGGAATATCAACTTATCTTTTCATCTGTGAGGGGGAGCTGAAAGGAAGAGGGAGAGATTATTTGACCTTCTTAATTCATACTATTTTCTTGATAAAGCTAACAACCCTTGTAGAGTTGTTTGACATCCCAACCTGGAGTTTAGTTTCACAATTAACTCAATGTACAAAGCTCTTTCAGTCAACAGGTTTCCTGGTGTTTCGGACTTTCCGTCGTAGTCTGTATGGATGAAGATTGTACCACCAAAAATTTGGTTCTTCCTCTGGATCCTTGCACACAAGAAGACGCTGACTCTTGACATGCTTCAAAGAAAAGGATGGAACTTAGCAAATCGATGTGAACTTTGTTGCAATAATGAAGAATCTGCCCAACATCTGTTTGTGAATTGCCCCTTTACAGATCAAGCTTGGAAATTGATAGGGAGAGCTTGCAGATCGATTGTCTTCCCTTTCAATTCGGATCTCAACACCATAATCAGAATATGGCCTGCATCTACTCCTGACATGTGGAAATGTGGTTCAAACATGATAATTTTCACGCAGTGTCGTGGTCGAACTAGCTGGAACGAAATCAAAGGATTTTCAACAATGTCGCGACGAGCGTTGAAGGAACAGTGGTGAAAATTCTCAAAATGGCTACGAGGTGGATTGTCGCACATGAAAAAACAGACAAAATTCAAGCTTCCCAATGGCTGCGGAACAACCTTCAGCAGGTTTTTTGCTCGCGTTGATCCTCGTTCCGGAGTCTTGTGTTTTTTGTTTCAGTAAGCTTCATTTTGGCTGCTGCTGTTGTCCTCGTTTCGGGTGACGTTCTTTCTTGCGTCCCTGCCTGCGCCTAGACAACCCTTCTTTTACAGTTTTTGTTTCTGGTTTTGCTTTTCAGGACTGTTTTTGCTGTTTGTTTCTCACATTGCCCGGAACTCTTGTTGCTGCTTGCTGTTTGGGTTGTGGTTAGGCCCTTGGCTTGCCACTCTCATTCTTTTTTTTTTCCTCTTTTCTTTTTCTTTTTCTTCCGGATCTGGCACCTCTTGTGCTCGTTCCGGTGGCTCTTTGTATTTCTCTTTGCCTTTTCCCTTAAGACATTTATCACCTTCATAAAAAAACGCGTCAAGCGAGTTTCAAAAGCGCTCCGATTTATTTTCTTTGATGGTTAATGATGGACCGAAAAGTTTTTCACGGTTGAACTAGGGGTTTGCAATTGTCCGAACCAGACTCATGAGAATTGTTATCCAACAGTGAAATACATCTTAGCACCAAGGATCTGAACAATTATGCATTCGATCCAATTTGGTCTGGTCCAAATGTAAATTTAGTAATTTTAATCCGTATTTATAAAATTTATGGTATCAATGACTGACAACATTATATTCGGTTCATTCAACAACATTATATTCGATTCAGTATGATTCAGGCACTAGTTCCATTTGGTGCAATTCGGTACAAACCAAACCATTGGAAACCCTTAAGTTCAATATGAAAACTGGTCCACTGTTCATTATTTTAACCACATAACAAATTAAGAAGAAAAATACTTCAGAAGAAAAATACTTCAATGTAAACTAAGACAATCCAACTCGAATTAATAATTTTATTTCTACTTCATCTTCTTCGTTTCCTAGCCTCCTTGTCGATTTTACGTAGTTCACTATTGGTCAACGTTGTCAAACCGATTTAAACCGTCGAGCCGTTGAAGCATATTGTTTGAGATTTAATGGTCGGATCGGAGTTTGATCAGTTTGAACTGTTTTATACTTAATATAGTTGTGATAATAATATAAGATGTTAATAACCCGAATGTAATTTGACAGGTAGCATATAGTAATTTAACAATAAATATATTATATGACCCTGAAAGCTTTCTATATATATGTTTAGTTTTCTAGAATAGGGTTTGTGAAAAGTTCAAAACGCATCATTAGTGCATCCACATCAATGAAATTGCAAGTTCAATTGTATATAAATTTTTTTTCCACCTCATTATTTTTGCAATTCAAGTCATATGAATGTCATTGCACCTACATCAATGTAATCCATTTCCAATTGAATATGTATTATGTTTAAATTATAGAAAATAAAGTAAAAGAGAAAAGAAAATATATAAAATAAAAAAATCTTCATTTTTTAGGCTTTTTTTACTTGCATATGCAATTGGATGTCATATCAATGCAATTAGTTTTGTAATTGCAAATACCCATGTCATGTACTTTAGCAATTGAAAATGCAATACCAATGCGGATGCTCTTATGTTTAATGAGCCAGAAATAGTCAATTCAGCCAGACCGCTAGTTTTTTTTTATGGTTTTGACCCACTACTGGTTTGAAGACAAAATGACTTATAGGGTCCATTTTAAGCACGGGTTCGGTCAAACCAGATCCAACCAACCAGCTGGATAGCGGCTTGATGAAACTGTTATTGATTGTTACTTTAATTACGAACTTAAATTTAATAAATTTTTATAATTTAATTACGAACTTAAATTTTGTAAACTTTTTACAATTTCATTTGTGAAATAGTTTGAATGATTCGTTAAACTTTAAGTGATAAATATTATAAATTTAAAATTATTTGATTTTCCAATAGTTTTTCTACAACGACTAATCACTGAACTATAAACCATTAATTTTTTCGGTTAGCAAAAGAGAGCTCCCAAGTCCCAACGATATAATAACTACCAACCATTTATCTCATTTCATTTCCCTCCGCCGAAAGAATAGCCTTCCGCTGGCTGGATCCTGGTTCATCCTTCCGGAGGAAAACCCTAGCTACTATCTCTAGTTAGGTCAATAAGGCTTCACCAATCTGTCTTCTGCCTCCCTCTACTCGAAAGAGATCTCCATCCCGTCCCGTCCCCTGTTTCCCTCTCTCGGTCAGGTAATTGAGCTCCTAACCCTAAACCCCATCTTCATTTCCAAGCTTCTCATTGATTGATTGATTGATTTCTGTCGCTTACTGTTTGATTTACTTGGATCGGATCTCGCTGTTATTCTTCTTCTTCGTGGCTCTCTCCATTTCCATGCTTCTCAAATGCTTCTTTGGTGCTTAATTTCATTTCCCATATGTGCAGCTCGGTTTAACGAAATAATGTAGTTGCCCTATTCTTCACCACAATCAATTATCTTATCCTTGTTGTAAATGGATTATATCTAGCATCTGCTATACAATTACGTTCATCCTTGAGTTTGACCTCTTCTGTATAATTGACAACTCTGGTAGGCCGAACAAAGGAAATGATGGATGCCAATATATGCGATATGAATCACTTGGATGCTAACGAAGTCCTTTTGCCCCCACGAAAGCGTCTGCTCACTGGGTACAAGAAGCGTGCTTTCGATTCTGCCGATCCCCATACCGGCACACTTGCTAATGCTAATGCTGCTGCTGCTGCTGCTTCTTATCGACTTCCTTGCTTGTCGTCCACTGCGTCTCCTTATTCCCAGTCGTCATCATCCCCCCTCGTCTCACCTCCACCTTCGCCATCTGCAACCCGGTTCCAGACCCATCTCAGCGACATTCTAAGTAGTCATTTCAACGATAACCTTACTCCTGAGGAGATCGTGACAGCTTCGAGAACAGCAGCCGATGCTGCTGTGAAGGCTGCGGAGGAAGCTAGAGCAGTGGCACAGGACAAGGCTGCTATGGCTGCAAAAGCTGTGGCTGCTGCCAAGGAAGCACTAGCCATGGTTGCCTCTTTCTCTGAAAAGGAGGCAGCATTGACCGCTGAACAGGAGAAGAGAGTTGTGGAAAACAGAGAGACAATTCGTTTTAGGAAGAAGAAACTGAAGAAGAAGCATGTCCAAGTTCAGGTCTTGTACAACAAAAAAGACCAACAACCCATTATGGCGGGGGGAACTATTAAAAGCTTTCCCGCCTCAGCAGGTTGCATTGAGTTATGAACAGCTCTCGGCAGACTCTCCCGCACAGTATTTTCCAACTGCAGCTTCCTGGCAATGGCAGAGGCTTTGGAGAGCACACACTTCCATCAATAATCTTTGTGAAGGAGTCAAGTCTACATGGGATGTTCAGAAATGGGTTTCGGAAGGTAGAGGCCGAGTTGAGGATGGTGAATACCAGTGAAGCGGGATTGTTAGAATGTAAAAAGGAAGGAATGCTGCCTTTTGAGTTTCTGCATCTGTAGAAGATCAAGAAGCTAACTCCCAGGGAAGTTGCCGCATTGTTTTTTTCTTTTTCTTTCTTTCTTCCGAGTAGTTGTTGCATTGTTGTTACTGCACTAATTTACAGCATGTTGTGAAGCGGAATAAAGTCATGCAATAGTCTTTAAGATATCGATTAGGTCCTTTTTGGTTGCTAATAATAGAGAGGACTAGAGGAGACGGGCTAGCTGACCGTGGTAGACAGCAAAAGATTGCGGAGGTAGAGTGCTCAGATTGTTCATCATCCCATTGATGTTGTATTTTTTGTTTTTCTTCCTTTTTGTAATGGGGTTGAATGGCCAGAAACTGTACAATTTCCTTGTTTCGTTGGTTTGTTTGGAGGTTTGCTAAGTTTGATTGATTTCATCTGTTTGTATCAAATTCGACTCCTAATATTGTTGCTACTACAGCCGTTCAAACTAAGACCTGTAGAAGTTTGTTTTAACTTTTAACATGAACTATTATGTTTTAGTATGTGAAACATGCTTCCCATTTTGGTTCCTGTAAAGTCCATTCACCTGGACATCTGAGAAAGTTTAGTGTATATAATTGTACCAGTATAATTGAGGAAGCTCTGATACTGTACAAGTCTCATTGAGGGGCAAACATACATGGATGGGGGCAATGATGCATTGACATCAAGCTTTACAATTTATTACTCAATCGTTGACGCTACTAACTAGACTCTAGATTGGCGAAGTAGTATAGTAGTGACCAATGTCGTATTTGAAGTGCCTTCCAGGTCTTGGCCTCGGCCTACTATCTAACCAAACAAGGAAGATTACAAGAGGGTTGAGTCTCTCTAGCAATAGATTGAATCGGGTTATAGTGTTTTGAGGTGCGAAGGTCACTATAGTAGGGATCAGAGCAATGATCATGTCTCTCGACCCCTCCTAGTCACGTCCACTGATTCATTGTCACAACAACCGATTTTCTTAACTAGGGGTGATGATTTACCTTGTCTAAATGGGTTCTACTCGTCTGCACACTAGGCGGGTGAGTCGATGGTCACACACTCACCTCACTAGCATCAACTAGGTGAGCTACTAATTGGAAGGGGATGGTCACCTCGTCCGTACACGTACCATATCATGTATCCACACCCTAATTAAAAGCATTAAGCATTCTAGTTAAGCACAATCACCTCGTAGATTAATATGTCAGATACAAAGGTTTCCCTATCTTCTAAGTTGCGAGGAATCACTCAAGCTATCACCTAAATCAATGGTCATGCACTTAGGTACACTTCTAGGTAACTTCTTGTCTCAATGATCATGTAACCAACAAATCACCTAGAGCCAGGGGCGGAGCTAGGTGGAGCCTCGGGGGGCCCCGGCCCCCCCTCCCCCCCCGAGAATTTTGAAACTACGTACAAAATCTCTTCGGATTGTGAAAAATTACGTATAACCTAGTTTCTCCAATTGGGAACAAGGCAAACGAGACTTCGGCTCATTGGTCTTGCAATCCAAATCCCACACTTATGTATGTTCTAAACTTGACCCAAAGGGATGGTCACCTAACCTAGGTCAAGAACAAAGAATAACCACTTTTACTAAAGCAATAGATGTACATGATAAAACATCAAATAGACATAGATAAATAGGTTAACAATCATTCTTACATATGACGCATACACAATATATAAGCTAGGGTGCATCTTCCTAACAAACAAGAGAAGCTAAAATATAGAGAGAGAAACCGTGTATAAACGGGAAGAAGAGCAAAAATCCATGGCTAGATCCTTCTTCTCCTTCTTGATTTGATCACCTTTCTTGAATGTTGGGAGGTTTTGGGGTTAGCATGAAGAAGGAATCACCCAAAACCTCTCCAAGCTCGTCACTCTCACTCAAGATCTTCTCATACTATGTTTTTCTCTTTCTGGGATTTCCCCCTTTACTCCAAAACAACCCCCTTGTATTTATAGACTAGGAAGGAAAAGATCACCACTTGTGCACAAGAGTTCTCGAATGCGAACTTTTGCGAGTGGGAAAGGAACTCTTGAGAAGGAAAAGATCATCGCTTCTACACAAGAGTACGCGACTGCGATCTTTTGGAGTGTAAAGCGAACTCTGGGGAAGGAAAGATCACTGCTTCCGCACAAGAGTTT